TTTTGTAAGGAATCTCCACACTGATTTGCATGGTGGTTGTACCAGTCTACACTCCCACCAACAGTGGAGAATCATTCCTTTTTCTGAACAACCCTGCCAGCATTTGTTATTGGTTGACTTTTTGATTATAGCCATTCTTTCTGGAGTGAGATGGACTCTCAGTGCTGTTTTAATTTGAATTTCTCAAATGACTAATGATGTTGAACATTCATTTATTTATTTATTTGCTGTTTGTATTTCTTCATCTGAGAAGTGTGTATTCATCTCAGATGCCCACTTTTGGATTGAGTCTTTGAATTTTGGGGGTCTGATTTTTTTAATTCAAGGTGATGAAACATGTTCCAAAATTGCACAACTATGTAAATATATTAATAACTATTGACTATGTATTCTTGCATGTTATTTCTCTATGCATAGTATATACATCTCAACATATATTGAATATACTAATATATTTAAAACCTTTGTATGATTTAATTGGCTGAATTACATGGCATATGGATTATATCTCAATAAACCTACTACAAAAATAATCACAAGGATCAAGCCAATTAAATTCACTAACCAGGGAAATATATAAAATTTTATAGATTGAGCTCTCATCACATTTCTAGAAATGTTCCTTCTTCTTATCCACTCTTTATCTTTTAATAGGAAACTCCGAGCCAGCCAAAAAGACATAAATAATTTTGTGTAGTAATCTTTGGTTTCTTAGAGTTACAATCAGACTGGAACAAGCTATGTGATCACATCGTGATGGCTCAAGACAAATTGTGTCTCCCATTCCCCAGTACTCTTTGCCTGCTGCTGATGGCTATCTCCTTTCAGACCCCTTGTAGAGAGGGTGGGCTTTCTAAAGTCATTGTAGTAACCTATTACCTTACACTAGAAATAAGTCCCAATCCTGTCTTGCTACAGAGTCCTTGTCCTTTACTTACATTAGTAATAACAAGCAGATAGGATGCACCAAAGTCTAGTAGACCCAGATTCAGAGAAAAGTCCTTGTCTTCTGTTTTACAAGGCACTGCAGAATACCTGGGACAGAATGGGTTTAGGTTAGAATAAGCAGCACAGCTTACAAAATACTCCTGTCTCGGTGGGGGAGGGGGACTCAAGAATGATCTCAGCTGTACTGGTGGTGAGGAAAGCAAGGCAGCCACCATTTCTCTTTGAAGAGAAATGTTTTTAGGAATAAACTACTTTTATGCTAGGTTTTGCTTGGATCTGAGCTCTTTATTGCCTGTCAGGTGTTTGTTGCTGCTATTGTTTGCTATTTTTATTATAAACCTGAATAAAGAAGGCACAAATCACTTTCTTTTGTAGACTTCAGGCCCAGGTGAGATTTTCTTATGCAAATCTTATGACTTAATGGAACAGTATAATGCAGTATATTCTAAGTAATAAAGTACCACTGGAGGTACCAAAGAGTAGGAGCCAGAACCCATAATAAACTGTAGAACCTCACAAAGGTAGACCATCTTAACTACCCAGGATGGCTATCCCACTTATTGTGATGCACCAGAATTTCCATATATATGGAAATA